GTAATACGATGCGCGCGCACTCGTTCATCAAACAAATTCAATTGGCAAGAACCTCTTTGCAAAATAAGGGACAAAGTCGACATACGCGCGTCGTCTCAAACGCATGCCGAAGTCCATAACAAATCACGGGTTCGTATGGATTTCTAAACCAAACATTGGTGTTGCAAGCGGACGGTTCAAACAAATCGGCAGGCGCGCTCATACGTATTTTTGGACAGTCATTGGTGACTCAACATGTTCTCCACATGCGACCAGTTGGGCCTCTCGCGCGCGCACGTCGAAAGCATTCGGCCGACCCTGCGCGCGAGTGTTCGGGGGGGGCACGATCCTCGTAACAAATATACCTTGCGTGTCACTCGCGCGCGTCGGCCGCGTGCGCATGTCGCCATCATTCCACAACTTCAATCACCGACGCGAAGACACCAACATCGTTATCGGCGTGATCAACTCAAGCTAACCATTGTCATTGTCATCGCCGTCACCAGCAAAGCTACTATCGTCATGGTGTCTGCCGTCCCGCCATGGCGCCATCATGGTGTCGGCGCGTCAGCGTCGACGTCGCCACGAGACCCAGTCACCGACTCGCGCTGAAGTGCCTGCGCGTCAGCGCAGCCTGCGAGACGGCAGCCTGCGAGACGCGCAGGGATGTCCCCAGCGTTCAGCGCCGCGCCGGCCGCGTCGGTCGCGCCAGACAAGCTGGCCGCTCTGCGCGCGAGCTTGCGCGCGCCAGCGCGGTCGCAAAGATGCGCCAACCACCGCCAAACCGTCATCGCAATCGCCGCCGCGCGGGGTTTCCAAACCCAGGTTGCGGGTGGGCGTGCGGGATGGCGCGCAAGCGTTGGAGTTGCCACTTCACGAATACCGCATGCAATGTTCCACTGAGATGGCACCACTTAGGTTGCACCGCGTAGGGTGCACCACACAGGTCACTCCACATAGAGTGCACAATATGGATTGAACAACATTCGTTGCCTAACATCACCGTGCCACCAACATTGCACCACATGACTTTCACAACGTGGGAGCAACATTCCTATATTACACCGTATAGATGCACCGTAAAGGCTGCAGAATTCTGATGGCACGCCATATATTGTACCACATCGGTTTCACCGCATACATTACACCACATATCTTCTCCTTTTTAAAAAGAGAATAGACTCTACCCCCCCTGGCGTTATCGCTACCCCTTTCGGGTATGTAAATCACATATGATTCTGACCACATGTCCATCCTAAATATGAAATCAGAATGTCCCAGGCCAGCCGGTGACCCCCCTGAGGTCCCCTTGTAAAAAACACTATGCGGTGACATAGCTTGTTCTAACATAGCACTTGTTCACGAATCCCTTGCAAAACATGGGACGAAGTGCACACGCGCGCGTCGTCGCGCGCGCATGCCGAAATCCTTCAAAAACCTTCGGTGTCGGAAGGATTTCGCAATCGAGTTTCCCAACAACATACAAAAACACAGGGTTTCGGAACACTGATTTGCTAAAAAAAGCTTACGCGCGAGCTCTTGCGAAACATCTTTGGAAAACCATGAGTTTTTCAAGATTTTCACAACATGCTACCAAACGGGCTTCGCGCGCGCGCATGTCGAAATCTGTCGAACCCCCTTGCGCGTGTGTCGTCGCGAGAATCCAACGAAAAAAATGTGACGAAGTGCAGACGCGCGCGTCGTCGCGCGCGTATGCCGAAATCCTTCAAAACCCATCGGTTTCGGAAGGATTTCAAACTCGTGTGCCCAAAAAACCTACAAAAAAACACAAGGTTTCGCAACACGGATTTTCAACAAAAGCGTGCGCGCGCGCTCTTGCGTCGTCGTCGTCGTCGCCGTCCTCCCTCCTCCCGCGTCGTCGTCGTCGTCGCCTACGTCGTGCTCTGTCTTTCCTCGTGTTCGGCGTCGTCGTCCTCTTTGGCGTCGTGGTCGTTTCCGTCGTCGTTGTCGCCGTGGTCGTCCTTCCTCCTCCTCCCTCGTCGTCGTCGTCCGTCGTCGGCGTCTCGTCGTCGTCCCTCCTATTTCGTCGCCGTTGTCGTCGTCGTCGTTGTCGTCGTCGTCGTCTTTTCTGCTCCCTCGTCGTTGTCGTCGTCGGCGTCGCCGTCCTTCCTCCTTCTTCGTCGTTCGCGTCGTCGCCGTCCTCCCTCCTCCCTCGTCGTTGTCGTCGACGTCGGCCTTGTCGCCGTTGTCGCCGTCGTCGTCCTCCCTCCTCCCTCGTCGTCGTCTTCGTTGGCGACGTCGTCGTCGTCTTCGTTGTCGTCGTTGGCGTCGGCGTCGTCGTCTTCGCCGTCGTCGACGTCGGCGTCGTCGTCGTCGCCAACGTCGTCGTCGTCGTCGTCGTCGTCGGCGTCGTCGACGTCGTCGTCGTCGTCGTTGTCGTCGTCGTCGGCGTCGTCATCATCGTCGTCGTTGTCATCGTCGTCGTCGTCGTCGGCGTCGGCGTCGCCGTCGATGTCGTCGTCGTCGTTGTCGGCGTCGTCGAAGTCGTTGGAGACGTCGTCGTCGTCGTCGTAGTCGTTGTCGGCGGCGTCGTCGTCGTCGTTGTCGCTGTCGTCGTCGGCGTCGCTGTCGTTGCCAAGCGCCATTTGGTACCCACCGTCACGGTCTTAAAAAAAATTGCAAACCAAGCTGCGGGTGGGTGGGTGGGATGTTTGCGCGAGCAGTGGAGAGGACAATTCACTGCGAACAGAAATTAGTTGCACCGCATAGATTCTTCCTAAGAGAGTATGAGGATCACTCCCTCCCCAGGACATCCTGGGCCCCCTGGGGATGCGCAATTTACACGTGAACTGCCCCATCGTCCATCCTGAATATGAACCCGTAGCATCCCAGCTAGGCCGGCACCCCCCTGTCCTCTGGAAAAATTTTATGCGAACGCTCGTTGAACAAAAACCATCCGTTGTCAAAGAGCCCCTTGCAACAAAGTGGGCGAAGTACGCACGCGCGCGCCGTCGCGCGCGCATGCATGTATCTGTTATATATATTTATATATATATATATGTATGTATATATATATATATACATATACATATATGTATATATGTGTATATATATGTGTATATGTATATATATATATATATATATATATATATATATATATATATATATATATATATATGTATAACTCAGGTGTCGTAAGCAGATCAAAACCGAGTGCCGCGACCACATTTCAAAAACGCACGGTTTCACAACAAGGGTCTTAAAAAAAGCCTGCGCTCGGGCTCTGGCAGATTCTGAGGGAAGCCACGGGGTTTCCAACATTCTCGTAAAATGCAGCGAAACGGTCCTCTGGCGCGCGCGCATGTCGACATTGATCGCACGCCCTTGCGCGCGCGCTGACGCACGAACCCCTTGCCCCCCGCCCCCCCATAAAACGCGAACGCCGTCGCGCGCGCATGGCGAAACCATTCAAACGCCTTAGGTTTCGCATGGATGTCAATAGCGAGCGTCCCGAACGCATGAGACGCATGTTTTTGCAACGGCAGTCGTCAAGAATGCCCGCGCGCCCTCGCGCGAATTCGTCCGATATCAAACGACGCCGTCGCATGTCAAACTCATCCGAACGCCCTTGCGCTCGCGAGGGGGGGGGGGTCGATCCGCATCGAAGAATATCGCGCGGGCCACTCGCGCGCGTCGACCGCGCGCGCATGTCAAACTCCATCCAAAATCTTCATCGCCGGCACGGCGACGTCGACGCCGCTACTCGCGAGCGCGATCAACGTCGGCGCCGTCATTGGCCTTGCCGCCGTCGTCGCCACCGTCGCCACCGCCATCGATGCCCCCATCGCCGCGCCCACCGCCGTCGACGTCGCCGCGACACCGCGCCCGCCCAAGTCACCAAACCCAGCTGAAGTGCCCGCTTGGAAGTGCGTAGCGGGCGCGCCACCACGGCCGCGTCGGTCGCGCCGCACTAGCTGACCGCTGCGCGCGCGAGCATGCGCGGGCTTGCGCGGCCGCGGATATGCGCCAGCCAACGACAAGCGCCCATCGCAATCGCCGTCGCATGGGTTTTGCAAACCAATTGCGGGCGGGCGGGTGGGATGATTGCGCGAGAAGTGGAGTTGACAGCTCACTGCGATAAAAAAATGAATTATCTGTACCGTTAGCGGGGACATTACGGGAGCCGCCAGGCAAGAGGGAGAGAGAGAAGGGGACGAAAGGCAAACCCCCGGAGGCCCACGAGCCCGCAAGGGCCCGCCACCCACCGGTGCGAGCACCGGGGGTCCCCGGGACAAAGCGGCGGCCCCACGAGGGCCGAGGGCAGAGAGAGAGGAAGGGCCAACGGCTCGACTCACTCACATATCATATTTCTCGTGACTCACTGTCAGCCTCGAGCGAGGCTGCTGAGAGAGATCTGAGCTGGACACAAGGCCTGGAGCCGGCGAGGATCCCAAGAGCAAAATGTCGAAACATCATACGGCCTCGAGCACGCTCGAGTCGAACGGAATCGAAACTCGGAACATAAAAAAGAGGGAGGGCGGGCTGGGCGCCTTCGGAACCAACCCCTCCCACAGCAGATAAGAAGCGTACAACTGGCAATTATCTGTACCGTTAGCGGGGACATTACGGGAGCCGCCAGGCAAGAGGGAGAGAGAGAAGGGGACGAAAGGCAAACCCCCGGAGGCCCACGAGCCCCGCAAGGGCCCGCCACCCACCGGTGCGAGCACCGGGGGTCCCCGGGACAAAGCGGCGGCCCCACGAGGGCCGAGGGCAGAGAGAGAGGAAGGGCCAACGGCTCGACTCACTCACATATCATATTTCTCGTGACTCACTGTCAGCCTCGAGCGAGGCTGCTGAAAGAGATCTGAGCTGGACACAAGGCCTGGAGCCGGCGAGGATCCCAAGAGCAAAATGTCGAGACATCATACGGCCAAATTTCCAATATCCCAGATCTTGGTCTTGTACAAGAAGGGTGGGCGGGTTCGGGAAACTCTTACAACTTGCCAATGCCTCAAGACTGATTTATCTGCTCTGAGCAGGTCTCTGCCTATCAGGTGTGCTCAGGCGCGCACCGGCACGCCTCGGCGCAGCCGGTGGATATTCTTGGCCACCAGCAGCGCGCGAGCTGCCAGCTCTGAGGAGGCTGGGCCGCGCTTGCCTTCCAGGAGCTGCAAGCCGCGAGCGACGTCCCTGGTTCCCATGACGGCGACCTGGCGGAGGAGCTTTCCGGTCTTCTCGTAGCGGGCCACCGACTTGGACGTGAGCCAACGGCCCCTCTTCTTGATCTCCGCCAGGCTGAGCAACTTCCGGTGGGCGGCCGTGGACGGCCCACCGTGGCGGGCTGAGTGCGGCGTGATGTTCAGGTCGGTCAGGCGGCAGCGCACTGCCGCATCTTTGATCTCCTTCTCGTAGCGAGGCAGCGTCAGCGGGGCCAGGAGCTTCGAGCCTTTGGGCGCCTGGCTTCTGAGGGACTGCAGCAGCTGAGGGACGAACGGCAGCCCGAGCCCTTCGAGCCCCACGACGACGGTGTCGTCGAACTCGCCTGACTTTGCCGGCTTCGCCGGCGTCGAGCTGCCTTTGGCCGTCTGCGGGGCCACGATGATGCAGGTCTGCTTGTAGTTGGCGGCGCTCGGCACGATGACGTCTTCCTTCTTCAGGTTCAAGATCTCCGAGGGCCGCGCGAACGTGTCGTACTGCGTGAGAAAGGCGAGCCCGGCGGCGGCCGCCGTGACCGTCGGCTGCCCCAAGAGGTCGAAGGCCAAGATGGCGGCGGCCTCGATCGGGCACGGATCCTCCGACCGGGGCGGGTCGTCCTTGAGGAAACCTTTGATGGCCCGCTGGCAGCGCGGAAGCGACCCCTTGGGCAGCGCCTTCACGAAGATGATCGCGCACCGCAGGTTGCGGGGCGCGGAGACGTCGAGCCCTTTCAGGTACATTTCGTCGTTGATGTACTGCGCCGCCGCCTCGTCGAGGGTGTTTGTGCTCATCCTGTGCAGCTGCAGGCCGTGCTGGACCGCGTGGAGCTCGAACGCGTTGTATGCCTTGGCGTAGGTCCGGCGGGTCTCCTCCGACACGGACTGCGCCTCGACCTGCGTCAGGTCCGTGAGGGCCGGCGCCGCGGCAGCCACCGCGCTCGCCGCCGCACTCGCCCTGCGGGCGGCCCGCTCCTCGCGCTGGGCCGGCGCGGCCGCCGCTGGGCGCCGCGCGGGCGTCGCGAGGGCGGTCGCGGGGCGGCGCAGCGGCGTCGGAGCCTCCCCGTCTGGCTGGGTCGCGGCCAGCACTAGAGCGTCCGGGGTCGGCGCCTGGTCCGCTGCTGGTGCCACCGCTGGTCGCCGTCGCGGGGGAGGGTCTGGCACGGTGTCGGCTGTCCGCGCCCTCTTGGCCTCCCGGGAAGCCTGGGTTGAGACATCCGGGGCCGACGTGTCGCCAGTTGGCGGGACAACTGACGCCCCAGCTGCCCACGGCGTGCTCCCACCCAAAGACCATTCGGCACGGGCATCGAGGCGCACAAACCCCGGCAAGCGCCCTCCGAGAGCGACTGGAGGCCTCCAGGGCGGTCCACCTCCAGGCAGGGACGCCATGGCCAAGCGCCGCGCCTGGGGGAGCGGCCAGCTGGGCGCAGTGCGCCACCGCCCGGCACAGGCGCGGCGGGTACTTGCCCGCGAGCTCGGTGAGCCACACACTGCGGAATCCGTTGTCGTTTGGGATCGTTACCTTTCCTTGCAAGATGAGGTGAGGCCCAGAACACGAACACCGAAGCTGGATATACTCCTCAAGACGCGGTAGCGTGAAAGCGAAGCGAGTGGCCTTCCGATACGGTGTGCCGAACCTACACATGTCGAAATCAACGAACTTGGCCTCCAGCGACGACAGGGCCTGACTAAGGGGCTCCCACTCCCAGAGGGCCGAAGTAGCAGGGTTCTCGAGTGTGATGTAGATGAGGTGCTTGTTGAGGGCTCTCTTGATGGCCTTCAGGAACCTCACGGTGACCTCTGCGCACTCGCGCCCCGAGACGGCCGCTGCAGACTGCGATGACCCCGTAGACCTCGCCCGCGAAGCCCAAGTGCAGGGAGTCCCAAAGTGGATCCACCAGACACGCCCCTGGGCAATCCACTGGAGGACCAGGCTGATGATGCGCGGGTCGAGAAGGTCGAGGTGGGCACCGTTCTTTTTCTCAAACGGGGCTGCGACCTCGAGCCCGGTGTGTAGCACGGCGCCGCTGAGATGCCCGTGACCAGCGAACAGCTCGAGAAAGAAGCGCCTCCTAGGCCGCGCAGCCGCGGGAGCCTGGCGCTCCGCCGCATGGCCGGGACGAGTCTCACCGGCAACTCCCGAGGAGACCGCGTCCGCGCCACAAGCGGAAAACTTCCCCGAGCGATCCTGACAGTCCTCGGTCCGCCTCAGCAGCAAACTCGCTACGGCGGCGCAGCGCTGCCGCGCCCGCTGTCGCTGTGGCCCGCTCGGCACGAAGGTCTCGCCTGGCATGAGCTCGCCCCGGTTGGCGCGGCGGGAGTCAAAGTCGGACACACACCGCGCCGACTCCACGCGCCGTCGCCTCCAGTCAACGCCCGCCGCCCACTGCCACGCACACGACTGTCGGCAGAGAGCGTTCAGGCCGAAGTCGGAGGCTCGGCCCCTTTCGGTGGCCAGCACGTCCGCCATGTTGTCACCAAGCGAGACCACGATCGAGTCCTCGGCCGCGCGACAGACAGCCGCGCGTCGCAGCCCCATCAGCGAGGTCCGGCACTCGAGGATGTGGATCGGAAGCCTTGTGCTGCTCCCAGACCACGCCCCGGCCACCACCAGCCGCCAGCGCCCTGGGTGCGTGACCGTCTGCGGTACGGCCGGGATGCCCGTCTTGCTGAAGGACATCACCCTCGGCTGCCGCTCCACGCACATCAGGTCGGCAGCCGCAGGCCGCTGATCTGGGGCCGCGGGGCCAAGCATCCCGTCCGCCCAAGCCGAGCCGATGCCGGCCCACCCAGCGGCGGGCTCACTGGGGGCCTCGCCGCCGGCCGACACCCCGCCAGGCTGCAGAACCTCGCGGAACCTCCAGCGCTCCTTCCAGCGCGCGAGCCCCGCTACCTCCCGAGGCGCTGCTGGGGCCTCGTGGAGGGCGTAGCCGTCGCCAGAAGAGTCCGAGCAGAACAGGTGTCTAGAGAAACTGCGATTCAGGTCGACGTCCACCGTCAGCACGAGTGAGCGGCAGATCCACAGCTCGTCCCACACAGTCGACGAGAGCGGACGCACGTTCCCCCCGTGATCGAAGGCAAATCGGTACGCGAACTGCAAGCAGCTGAGTCCCGTAGGACGAAGCCCAAAGTGATGACACAGGTGCCCCAGAACAACACGAAGTGCGTCGCCAGAACAGCGCCCCAAGCGAAGCAGCCGTCCCAGCGCGAGCCACAATCGCCACGACCGTCGCGCGGTGTGGCGCAGGCGGCGGCGGTCGCCATCAAGGACCATACCGAGGAACTCGAAGTCCCGCTCGCCGTCAACGTGGTCGCGGAGGACGAGGCCCCGCTCTGCCAGAAGCCGGAGCACCGTGCTGAACACCTCGCGCCCTTTCTGAACCCCCATCGCCACCATGTTGACATTGTCGACGTACGGGGCCATGGCCGGGGCCAAGGGATGCAAAGTCGCTGGCCGCTGACGGTCCCCAACCAAGGTCGTCGGCAGCAGGTGGTGCTCGAGCGCCTGCCGCATCACGTCGCTGATCGTCTCGTTGCAGAAGTAGAGCGCCCAGCTCCAGCCCATGGCCATGCCCAGGAAGCAGGCCTCGAGACGTTCGTGAGCGTCCACCTGGGAAGGGCCCCCGGCCCGCTCGTCATATACCTCGGTGAGAGTCGTTCCGAAGTCGGTGGCGATCTCGGCCGCCGTGCTGACGAAGCCCAGGCCGAAGTAGCTGGCCATGGTCTCGCACTTGAACTGGTAGAACCCGTCGGTCAGGTCCACGCTGAACCCGCACAGCTCGGTGTCGCCGCCGCCCGCGGCCGGCGTCACCGAGACGCCGGCTGCCTTCAGCTCAGCCCCCTCGATCGCCACGGCCTCCGGCGAAGTCGAAAGTCGGGCGAGGGCGCTGGGCACGGCCAGCCGCGAGAGCGGTGGTCGCTTGCAGAGCTTGTTGGTCCACCGCGCGTCGAGCACCAGCCGGAGCATGTTGTTCTTCTTCTTGACGAAGAAGCACCCGACCCGACTGTGGACCCGGCGCCGCCAGGTGAGCAGACCGCTGCCCGACAAGGCCGTCAGAAACTCAATCATGTTGTGCCGGGACCCTTTGAGAACCGGGTCCCAGTACGGCTTGCCTCTAAGCGCTCCGCTGTCCACGTCGGAGGCCAGCTCGGCGTCCGACTTCAAAATGTGGGTGGCTGGGTCGAGGATGAACTCGGCAGCCGTCGCCGAAGTGATGGAAGATACTTCCTTCGGCTGCAGGTCGCCCCGAGCCACGCGGAGTCGAGAGATATCATAGGTGCCCAACGCGGCACCGCCAGTCAAGGTGCACAAGTCATCTGAGTGGAGGATGTCGGACAGCGCGGCCGACTCGCTCTCCAGCGGCAGATCCTGAAGCACAGGATCCAAGGCCGCGGAGGCGCGCTGCAAGGCCCGGCGCTGCCAGGCCGAGCACGCCTCGAAGTCGAGTTCACTGCCACGAAGCCCACGAAGAAGTGGACGTCGCGGCTGCGCCCGAGACAGGCTGGAGAGGGCCACGGCGTAGTCGCCGAGGAGCCGCTCCCGCAAGGACGTGCCCTGCACCAGCCTCGAGATCGGCTGCCGAGGCAGCGGAGTCTCCGCCCCCACCAAACGGGCAGGGAACGGTAGCGTGTCCCGAAGAGAAAGAGCCGCCGGACGCTGGGACCCCACGCCGGCGGGACCGCACCACGGCGCTAGTTGTCGCCGTCCTTGCCATGCTTCTTCTTGTCCTTCTCCTTCCGCTTGGCCTCGAGCTCCTCCCGGAGCAGCCTGTTCTGCTTGAGGATGCGGGCCTCGACCTCGGCCTGCTGCGCAAAGTAGGTCGTGAACTGCTGCGTCGCCACTCCCCCCTTCTCGTCCTGGTTGTGCTCGATCATCTTGTGCAGGCCGTCGAAGCATGGGGACTTCGGGTTGACCTTCACCGCCCGCTCGATCATCACGATCCGCCGGGCCGCCAGCTCCAGCGAGCCGCAGTTGGCGGGGTCGAGCCCGTCGTATCCGACCGCCAGCCCCAGGATCTGCAGCAGCATCCGGTGCTCCCAGGCGACGGCGCTCTCCGCGTGCACCCCGGACTCGCGGACCCAGTGCACGTGGTACGTCGCCGTCGTGAGTCCCAGCGCGTGGATGCCCTGGAGCAGCTCGACGACCGCGCGTGGCCCCGGGTGGGGCCACGACGGCATCTGGGTAAGCTCGACGGGCCTGAAGTTCTGCATGGCCAGGCCGAGGGGCTGTGCACCCGCAGCGGCGTCGTGCGACGCCGAGGACGCCAGCCGAGGATCCCGGCCTGCTCCCGAGTGCTTGTCCACCAGCCACGCGCCCATCTCGCTGTTCGGCACGAGCTCGACGGCCAGCCAGCGCCCCGGCTGGCCCAGCAGCGCCAGCCCGACTGAACCTCGCTTCACCCCCGTCGCCATGCCCTCGACGACGTCGGCCGCCACCTCCTCGCCGAACTCGACCGCTGAGGTGTCGGCCACGCGCCAGCTGGTCTGGGGGATGGTGCCCCCAGTCGGGGCCGCACCTCCAGTCAGCACGGCAGCCAGTCGTGCCGCCTGTGCGTGCAGCGACGCCAGGCGCTCGGGCAACGTCGCGTCGCACATCCTGACGTCGCCCGCCTGGGCGTCCCCGACACGAGCCCCTGGGGCCAGCGTCAGCAGCGTCCGCCCAGCCAAGTCGATGCTCTCGATCCCTTCGTCCGGGAAGCACGCGACCCACACAGCCTCGCGCAGCCGCCGCAGCAGCACCAGGTGGTGCCACGTGTGCGTCGCGTGCGCGTCGTCCCGCAGCAGGATCTGCGGCTCCTCGACCGCCAGCGCCCGCTCTGCACCGCCAAAGCCTGCCATGGCCATCCTCAGCGCCGGACCTCGCTAGCGGCGAGAGCTGCCAGCACGGCGGGCGTCGCCGCAGCCGCCGGGGCGTCCCGCCGGGCTGGCGGAGGGGTCGGCTTCGCGGCCGCGCGGCCGCCCCCGGCCCCACAGCACCCGGCCGCCAGCAGCGCGAGGCAGCTGGACGCGACGCCCAGCACCAGGCCCGCGCAGGCGAGCGCGAAGCAGGCGAGCCGGTACCACTCCAGGTCCCCGCGCGCCTGCAGGAGCTCGCGCAGCTCCTCGTCGCACGAGCAGGCCTGCTCGTGCGACGGCGCCGGTGGCTCCACCGGCGGCGCCACAGGCGCGATGGGCCAGACAGATTGCAGCAACCACGCGGTCGCGGCCACACAGGCGGTGGCCCAGGGCAGCTGGTCGGGGTGCATTGGCATGAACCACAACGCCTTCGGAACCAACCCCTCCCACAGCAGATAAGAAGCGTACAACTGGCAATTTCACAACATAAATTGCAGTGCGCCTGCTGCGCAACATAGATTGCACCACGCACGCTGCGCACCAGATTGCACTGCATAGATGGCACCACGCTGGTTTCGCAACATGCACTGCACAACAAGCATGGCTAGTTTTTTTTTCGAATCGGCATCTTACTCGAGGTACCGCGGGGCATCTGCAGGGGCACCGCTAAGACTGAACCCCCAGGCGACTCTAGATGATAATAATCATTTTCAATATCTGTTGCGTACCCAAGCTCCGCGCAGAGGCAGCGGCATGGACTTGGGCCTGCGGGGGAAACGTGACAAATAACAGCGACAGACCGCGGCGCTATTCATTCTCGCGCATCACTTCCATTATCGTCTTTTCTGGTCAGTATCTTGCCCGAGGCCCCGCGGGGCATCTGCTGGGGCACTGCTGAAGCAGGCGGCCCGGGCGAATCTCAATGAAACAACTCCATTACCTACAAAAACAGACATCTCTTCCTCGGACATTGCGCCGACGTTCGTTACTTACTTCAACGCTTGCCATACCCTAGATACATCGCGATGGGCACGTGATTGGCGGCGCATAGAAGCGAGGAGGGAGCGAAGAAGAGGAGGGCATGCGCTCTTAAACTTCGCAATGAACTGCCCTTGGCCCTGACCAGTTAATTCAACGCGGGGTTCGCCTGTGAACGCGCGCGCCGAGGTCCCCGCGGCACTGTCTTTCGGCCAGGGGCGGGCCCGGGCGGCGGCGCCGAAAACGAAGTGGCGCCCAACCTCTCTGAAGGGCCACACGCGCGCGCAATGATCCACACAACGCGCGCCCGCAAGAGCCCGGGCCCCCAAAGGGGCCGGCGGCCAGGGCGAAGCCGCAAGTCACTCTGCCATGGCCCCCCCCCCAGAGATCCCACGCCCAATGCGCATTCCATCATTTGAATCAGGCTTGCAATGGCCCCAAGACAACCCGAAGTCCTTGAATTCTCTAAGTCGCCCCCATGGAGTTCAGGGGGGCCAGGCGGTTGACTGGGGCGCCAAGGAGCGCGAGGCATTCGACGACTCTCGAGCGCGAAAGATACTCGTGCCCATACCCAGGCGGGGCGGCAAGGGGCGGGGGGGGCAACGCGCCGCAGCCGACGGCGGTTGCGCAAGTGCAGATGCGACAGCCCATGGGGCATTACAAGACGCTGTCTTCTCCGGGCATCCGCTGGCACCGAAAGCGCGCGCGTTCCAATCGGCAGAGCGGCCGACCGCATATTGGTCGCTCTCGGGCTGGAGTAGCTTGTTCGGTGGTGCGCCCACGAACGCGCAATCATGCGTTCGGGGCTCGACGCGCAGAACGCGCCCTGGGTGCCCTGGGCGGGCGCCGCTGCAATCCCGCGCTCGCCCCAAACGCGTGGGGCCCCGAACGCCAGGCGCGGTCGCCAGGGGCTGCCCCCTGGAAAACCCGCGCGGCGTCGCCCCAGCTAGGTCCGGGCAAGTGTCGGGGGGCACAGTCGCCGACGCGCGTTGATGGTGCCCCCGGAAACGCTCCCGCGCTTAGTCGAGGCGGCGCTTGGTCGAAATCGCTCTCGGGCGCGCGCGCGGCCCCCGAGAGCGCTCCCGAATGCGGCCACAACGGCCCCCGGAGAGTGCGAGATTGCAGCGACGCTCCTGCGGGCAAGCCCAAACGCGACGGAGCGGTGGTGCCTGTCCCCAAATGGGACAGGCACCACGCCAATGTTGTTTTAAACCCCGCGGACACCCCCGATGCCCAAAGACGCCCCTGACGCAAGCCAGGGCATCTTGCTGCAATCAATCAACCTGCCGTTCAGCGCGTCGTTGCGTCCTGACGCGCGGATGCTGAACCAGTGCGCACGCGGCAGGCTGATCGGGCGCAGTGGCAAGCGCCCAATCCAGCGGGCGGCTCTTTCACCCAGGCCGACCCCGGGCAAGGGTATGTTTAGGACCGACAAACGACGCAGCGGGGCCGACGTGCTCGGGGGCATCCTTCACTGGGCGTTCCAAGCCAGACCGCCTTAACAAGTCCAACCAATGATCCATCCCTGGAGAACGCGCCACACCTCAAGGTACGCGATTGAAACACTCACCATTCCCCAAGTCCCATTCAATCGCGGCCTCACCCCTCGCTCTCAAACGTTTGCCGAGCTCGACCGAGCCCGAGGAAACTTCCACGATCGCGCGACTCTGGCGGCCTCGAGCAGCCTCCAGTTTACTAGTTCACCGCGAAGCACTTTGCGAAGGCGCGCTCAACGCCGGCCTCGGCAAGACGAGGCTGGCGCACGCGTGCCACGACGAGCTTCTGAAGCCCAAGGCCCAGCCACCCGTGCTCCCCGCGGCGGTCGACGCTCCGGAAGGCGCGCCGCCCGCCTCGTTGCTGCGCGGCCGCCGAGGGCCCGGCGGCCCTGCCCTGATCGTGGCCGGCGGCGCCCCGTGCTTCGATTTGAACCCAAGTGGCTGACGTCGCCGAGAGGCCTGGCCACCGGGGCCCCACTCCGAGGGCGCCCGCCAGCAGCGCGCGCGGATGTCAGCGGCGACGCTGGAGCGAAGACAACCCGACACGCAAGAAAAACACGATGATGCGAGGCTCCTCCTTTTGCCAGCGGAAATGCGCCTGACATGTCGTCGCCGAGAACGTGGCGACGCAGGCCGCGCCTCTGCGAGCGCGTGGCAACGCGGCGAGTGGCCCAACATATCGACGCCACCTCAAGGCGACGAATCGCCTCGCGGCGTCGCCATCGGCCGCAGCTCGCGACGCGCCACTCTGAGCCCGCCAGCGCTGCCGAGCTCACCCGCGGAAGCTATGAGTCTCGACATGCGAGCGCCAGCGTAGCATCGGGGGCCCGGGCGATCTTGGCCTCCGCCGCACGGCCGCGAGGAGCCCCGGCTCTGCCTCCGCGGCGCCGCGCCCCCTCGGCGAAACGTCGTAAGCGGCGACAGCGGGCGGCCGCTTCCTGCCCGCGTCGCCGACGACGCAGGGCAGCACAGAGCGGGCCCAGTTGAGCTCGGCCCACGCGCTGCCCCACGGGGGCCGGCGCTCGAGCTTAGCCTCCTCGGCGAAGGTGCAGCTGGCCGCCAGCGTGGGCAACGGCCCTTGCCTCAGCGCGCAAGGAGCGACGACGTGTTCCAGCACCCGCTCGAGCTCGCGCCCCGCGACCTCGACCGAGCGGCCGAGAGGCGCGAAGACGAGGGGGAGCTGCTGCCCCTGGTTGCGCACCAGCAGGAAGCGACAGTAAAGAAGAACCCTCGGGGCGGTCAAGTAGCGCGTCGCTGGCGCCAGGCACCTGCGCGCGGCGCTGGGAGCTGGCGACAGACTGGTGGCCAAGCCGCGGGTCTGGCTGGCGCTGAGGGGGCTTGCTCGCCGAGAGGGCGCCCGCCCTCCGAAGCTCCCCGCCGCGGCGCGCATGATGAGCTGATCCCGTCAGAGTATAGCCCCGCAGAGGTGCCCGACCACGCGGCGATCTGGCGCGCGCTGGCCACGGCCTGGTTCTTCCTGAGGCGCGGCGGGGGTCGCGCCTGGAGTGGCGGCTGGGGCCGCGACAAAGTGCCGACGGGGGGCGATGTGGCAGCGCGCCGCGAAGGCCGTCCCACGTCAAACCTGAGGGAAGCCGACGAGGTCATCGCGTGGTTCAAGAGTAGAGCTCCAAGGCGGGCCAGCTGCAGGCTGGAGAGGCACACAACCACTGCCGCGCCAGCGACGGGCTCTCCCCCGAGCACTTCACGACAGAAAAGTGAAGCGCGAGCAGCTGCAGGAGGTGCTCGAGCAGGTGGCAAGAGAGGAGGGCCTCCCCGCGGAGCGCATGCGATCCCACCCGCTGCGCATCGGAGGCGCCGCAGCCCTCTACCACATCCACCCGGATGTGGAGCTGATCAAGAGGTTCGGGCGCTGGAGCAGCACCTCCTTCCGTAGGTACTTACTACGATGATGGCACTGGATAAGGAAATCTACGATGAGGAATCCAGGATCTGCAGGCCAATGGAAAGCCAATCGTGGATTGGCCATGGATATCGCCGCCGCCCTCATCATATAAAGAACCCTCCAGGGTCTGAAGCCCCTGGACACATTCCTTAACCAACGCCCCCACCGTAACGGGGAGGCAAACGAGGGCGCGAAAGGCGTGGCCGCTGGCATGGCAGGATATACGACATCGCTGCACGTCCGCCACCGCCCGGCGAAAGCGGACTGGCCCAGGGCGCAGGGCGCCGAGGCAGGCCGCACCAGGGGAGGACAGGAGCAAACCTCAGGGCGGGCCCGAGGGGAAGGGGGGCAGGGCGGCCACTGCTCGCGCCTGCCAGAGGGGGGGCGGCGGGGACACGGGGGGAAGCTACGTGCACTTCCCGCGCCCCTCTGGTCCGCCAGAGCTCGCCAGCCCCACCGCCCCACGGCGAAGGAGGAAACCTGAGCGGCTACGACGACAGGAAGGATGAGAGCCCACTTCGGGGAGGACGCCGAGACTGCAACGCAGGCTGCTGGCCGCCCGGATCATGCGGGGCCGGGCGCCGTCGCCGCTGCCAGGCCCGCGCCGGGGGCCGCCGGCGGCCCGTGGCGCT